GATGTGTTTTAATACCCGCAAATTATGGGTTATGGAAAGGGGATATGGTTCTATTGAATGAATTTCTGCAAGAAAGAGATAATAACACCTATGGCATCAATTTTACAAAACATTTTAGTAGGGAAACTGTAAATTTTCTAGATTTACAAATTCTGGTGGAAAATGGCAAAAGATATACTAAAACCTACTTTAAATATACAGATAAAAACAGGTCTATACCCACACAAAGTTATCATCGTCCCAGTTGGATAGGGAACATATCGAAGGGTCAGTTTACCAGAATCAGGCGTAACTGTACTAGGATGACGATTATGCGAAACAATCCCAAATTATACAGGATAGATTCTCACAGAAAGGGTATAATAGGGCCAGAATGATTAAAAAGAGAGAGGAAGTATGTAGGAGGGATAGAGATCCATTATTATTACACAAGAAGAAAAAAGAACAGCTCCCAATATCATTTACCAATCATTTTTTGGTGCAATATAAGGAGTTAGATACAATCCTTACTAAACACTGGCAGTTATTAAAAAGTGATATAATTCTAGGTCCCCTTCAACCCAATAAGCCTAAAGTAATATATAAATGGGCTCCTATATTGAGAAACAGGCTATCTACAAATGAAATAGACGCACCCATACGTAAAACCCAGTGACATGCAGTACCTCTTGCTCCGGGTGAGGCATTCCCCAGCCTCGCCCCCCAGCACGTCCCGCACACCCCAGCCAACCAAAACCCCGTCCCCCGCCGGCCAAAGCCCCAACCCTGTCGGATGAAGCCCCACCCGCTGTCAGAGGAAGCCCCACCCCAACCCATCCCCAAGCTAGTGTAAAGGTGGAAGGGAGGAGACAGGGAGGAGCCTCCCTGTCCCTCACTTGCTCCACACTGCTGAGGAGCTCCATCCATGACAGGTTACACAGCGAGGAGGATTTCCCTGCTGTGTAACCTGTTAGATGCCGATCTAAATGGAGAAAAAGCTGTCAGCTTCAGAAATTAAGCTGACAGCTTTTTCCTCCATAATTCTAGGTGAGGCTTTGCCTCATCTGCCTCCCCTGACCGCATGTCCCTGGTAAAACCACATTCTTTGAGGGAGTAGGATTCTACCCCTGTAAAAGGTGTACAGGATGTAACATCACGGGAAGGAGAAGGAAGGGAGAAAAATTCTAACATTAATGAAATGGGATTTAAAGTAAAAAAATATATATCCTGTAACACTAAATGCGTCACCTATCTATTAGAATGCCCATGTGATCAACAGTATGTGGACCGGATCACCATATGTTTCAAGAAAAGAATTGAGCAACATATTAAAAATATTCGTAAAGTGTATGAGAAACACAGTGTATCAAAACATTATTAATACTTACATAACAGTGATCCCAGATGCCTTACATTTTTGGGAATAGACAAGCAAGGTAGATATTGAAGGGGTTCCAACCTCATATGGATCTATACTTTAGACACAATGGCTCCCAAAAGACTCAACACAGAATTTGATCTGTATTGTTTTCTTAGTAATAATTAGACTAATATTCCTTTTTAGTAGCTTTTATTAATTCACAAACCATGTACCGTATATACTCGAGTATAAGCCGAGTTTTTCAGCCCATTTTTTTTGCTGAAAAGTGCCCCCCTCGGCTTATACTCGAGTCAGCGTCTCGAGCTGGTCAGGTTTCTTCTTACTTACCTCGCCGAGCGTCGCGTCACAGCTGCTCCGGTGGAAGTTTTACACTGGCTGTATTAAGTGTATGATGCTTTTTAAAATTTTATTATGTATAAATATTTTAAATGTATTTTAATATTTTATATGCGTATGTTTTTATGGATATCAAATATTGTCTCCATCTTATCTATACCGATCGTATGTATATATAATTATTCCCACACGTAAATGGTAGGAGTACTGTATATGGAAACAAGCAGCATAAGGGAGACATTATGTGGCCATTTTAGAATATAGCAACTGTTCAGAGGAAATGTAGGGAGGATTTTGTAAGATCCAGTTGGTAAATATAGAATACATGTAATAGCCTCAGCAAAGCCGCTGTTCTTTGAGGAAATGAGCGATTCATATGAATTTTTATGCTGGCATTTTGTAACTTTTATGTGAGTAGATCTTATTACTTATATACATTTGCAGGGTTTGGAGAAGGCAGGAGAAGTAAACAATCTAGGACAACTTAGCTGAACTGGAAAGTGAGCTGAATTGTTTTCCAAATCATCTATTTTGTCTTAGATTGTTCATTTCTGCCTTCTCCAAGACACAGGTAAGTTTAAACCGCTTTTAAAGCTTTTTTTTATTTTATTTTTGACACTTTTTGCATATATCTACTGCTTGCTAGCAGTAGATATATGCAAAAACACTGGAGGCTTTAATTATACTTTAGGTAAATAATGAACATACCGTATATACTCGAGTATAAGCCGAGATTTTCAGCCCATTTTTTTGGGTGAAAAGTGCCCCCCTCGGCTTATACTCGAGTCAGCGCCATGTGTCATCTTACTTACCTCGCCGAGCGTCGCGTCACTGCTGCTCCGGTGTGCGGCGCTCCGAGCGGGGTCATCTGGCAGTCTCCGGGTCCTAATTTAGGTGGCCGGAGACTGCCAGATGACCCCGCTCGGAGCGCCGCACACCGGAGCAGCAGTGACGCGACGCTCGGCGAGGTAAGTAAGATGACACATGGCGCTGACTCGAGTATAAGCCGAGGGGGGCACTTTTCACCCAAAAAAATGG